AGAGGTCTGCGTCTAAAACAGGAAACGTGTTGATTTTTTGACAAGCAAGCAACCACATTCTGTGTCGTTGGTTCCAAAACCAAAATAACACCACATCCCTTCACCCCTACAACAACAACAACCAATAAAATAGTATAAATAATATGCAGAAAGAAAAGGAAAATGCACCCAGAAAAGAGGAAGAGTTGTTGGGGCAATTCAGACCTGGTTTATCCGCCCGTAGCTAAAGACCAAGGCGGCTGGGTTGAACGGGTGACATCGGTCCCTTCCCTTTGCGTAGTTCATGGGTTTAAATCAGAGTGATTACAGGGCATCGAGCATGTGGTAACAATTAATTTAGACGTATAGATCACGTGGACACTCTTTAATTTAAGTACGTTGCAAGCTTGATTCTCTCGAAAATTTGGCAACCTTCAAATGTCAAAAGGAGCCCATAAGTTCAGGGACTGGAGTGATGGCTCGTTCTGTCTTTCTTTTGAGGAGTTCGAAAGCAATGGGATTCAAGTGGTTTCTTGGCATCTTTCCACTCTTTACGATTCCCCGGTACTATAAACGCACGGACCTCCAGCACTCCTCCTGTGTGTGTGCATCTTGTTATTCTTTAGACCTTTCCAAGAATTTTGTGTATGCCGCCAGCCATTGTCGCGTTACTACGTACCGGCCCTGAGAAAATGTATAGAACTGCGAATGTCTCGCGAGTCTCCGATGAGTATATGGTGAACATATCACCGGCTGCAAAGGGCTCTCCAGTGCCAAAAATGCTGATTGCTGCTGATCATCTCCCGACCAGGTTGAATGCAACCAAGAAAGAAATCCCTCCTCCTAAGTCGTCAGGAGAGAAAGCAGTACATCTCATCCCGCTAGTCTTGTCACTCTGTGCTCTAATTCTTTGGTTCTTCTCCAAACCGGTTACAATTCCGGGTGGAGTTCATTAGTTGTTTAGCGTGTTTGATTTACCTCCAGCTCGAAAGGCAAAAGTTTTTGTAACGACCACCTTTGTTGTTTTAGTTGTTTCAAGAAGCGCGACAAATAAGAATGTAAGAACAGTCGTGAAGTTGAGCCGAGTGCGGGAAGACGTCATTAATTAGGATGATGTTGGTTGTTTTCTTCGTGTTATACGCTAATTGACATTCTAGTCCTGCTGAAAGTCTAAATTTGAAACTCTTATGCTGATCAATCAAAGACGATGGAGGGCTTCAGAGGGCACCAAAAGACATTGCAGATTCTGGCCCTCAACTTAACACAAAGCAAACTACGTATAACAAAATGTAGAAAGATAAAAGTATATATTCGAGACAGAGGGATATGAAAGCTAATGACATATACGGCTATACCACTTGCCTTCGCCCCTTTCATGCAAGTAGCGTCCAAAAAACTGAAAAAGACTAGTGAAGATGCTGATAAGGAAAAAAAAAAAACTTTTAATTGGTGTCATCTGTGTAGATGTTAATGTCATGCAAGTTTTTTCCAAATTTAAGATAATCCGATGTAAGAGTTTTATTCTTTTTTTTTTGCTTTTTCGGGTAGATGTTAGCTGTTTTTTGGGGTGTTTTTTGAAATATTTTACTGTAGCAATATTGGTGAAATTTTTTTACCGTAGATAAGATTATTTTTTAAGGCTGTTTTTGGTATTTTTGATGTTGTTTTTGAGGTTATTTTTTGTGTTTTTAAAATTATTTTGATATGTGTATTATTGTAACATATTGTATATGAAAAAACTTGTTTTTTAGAAAATGATCAATCCAAACGGATTAATTTCACTGCCTACTCCTAAAAAAATTTAGGATGGAGGGAAGCTCTTAATCGGTTAAATTCCTGAGCTAGAGGTGCTGAAGTCGCTCGCTCGAACAGTTTATTAGTTTAATCTCCAAAACCACTGTTCTTTTCAGTTGGGCCACTGGCAAAGGTTCTGGATTAGGAACTAAACGGATAGTAGTTTCCTAGGGGGCCCGGCCCTTAACATTGGTTTGCGCCGCGGAGTATATAGGTTTCTTAGCAGCTGGTTTAGCTGTCACGTTACCTGTCATATCAGTCTATTCTTAATTTTGTTATCTTCAGCTACGGATTACCTTTCATCGATAAGGAAAACCATTTTGTACTTTTTGCTTGGATCACCATCTCAAGAGGTTATTAATCAACTGTTATTAACCACTCAAATTTTGTTGCTCAAGCAGGGAATAAAAATGGCGCCTCTTCACTCGAAAAGCTAATTAAGTAGTCGTTCTGGAATTAATAAGCAAGGATGCGGGTGGAAGTTTGCACATTTTCGTACTATCCTGGTTAAATGATTTTTTTTTTTTTTTTTGGGGTTGCCATCTCGATAGTAAATGAATTGTTATGAGTCAAAGTAAATTACCTTTTTTTTTTTTTTAAGTGGGAGATTTTTGTTCAAGATTTGCTATTTACAATCTCTCTCGTTTCACCATTCAATCTAAACCTCTTCTAATAAATCAACCTTATATCTTATCCCTTTGAACTTCTAAATGTGGTCAATTTTTTTTTAGGAGTCCAATAATTGACAGTCAAATTTCTATGTTTCTTTTCATAATATCAAATCGACCATTATTTCAACTAGAAACATAATTTGTATCATCAATGAACTATCCATTCTCAATTTAGACAAGCATTATTTTTTCACAATTCGGCTGTTTAGATTCCGCAACTCTTTTTCCATCTTTCTTTTGTTTTTCCCTTTTTCTTCTCATAATGGTAGACTTTACAACTCTTTGATTCTTCATTCGTCTATGGCTATCAACTGATCATAATAATTTCTTTTAGGCTCTGTTTGTTTAACAGAAAAGTCGTGTAAGAAAGTTTATCGTATAAAAAGTGAAGTGAAATGAGGTAAAGGAAAAAGGAAACAAATTTTGCCACATGTGTTTGGTTAACAAGAAAATGATGCAAGAAAATAAAAACTCTATTTGTATAGCCAAAAAGTCACGGAAAAAATGGCTAGTATTTTCGTTAATAGAAAATAATCAATACGGAACTTCTTCATTTTTTGTATTTAAAATATGTAGAAATGTGTAATAATTATAACATTTTGCATACTGGAAGAGTTGTTTACTTGAAAATTAATCATATTCTTTAATAATATACGTGTGTGTGCATATATAGTATATATTATGTGTGTATAAGACTATAAGTTAATTCAAAAATATATAAACATAAAAAATGAGCATAAAATGTAAAAGAAAAAAAATACTTATGTCGTATAAATTCAATAAATTACTAATTCATTAATTATTAACATAAAAATAAAATGTCTAACTACAAACCAGCTGTTTGAATTATAAATTCTAAAATATTCTCATTTATGTAGGAGTTTAGAACGGAGGACATAGTTTAGAAAGTAAGAAATTGTAATAAAAAACGACTCAGCTAAATCTTTTCCATGACACAAAGTTTTACTGGTTGACCTCCTTCTGTTTAATCTGAAATTTCCTAAATGTTGAACAACCAAAAACTGACTGTTTCTTGCATTGCTTCAACAAAATCTTGTTTGATCCAAATAAAAGAAGTAAACAAGTTGCTACTAATTTGGGAACTCTTGTATTAACAAAATTAACGTTGGACAATGGTTGGCAACTCATATAAAAGTTGACTTGACTTGACTTCTAACAAACGAACAAAAAGGGGGGGAAATAACAAGAGAAACTGCAAAGCAAGAAAAATTAAAGAGAGACCTACTATTTATTGATTGACAAAAAGAAAAAGAAAAGAAAGTCGTGGCTGGTCAATAAAGTTGCGATTTATCCATTTTCAGTGTTAATCCTAAATTACTTTTGAGTTTTGACTAAAGTATACAAGGTAAATGGATCCCAGTGTCACTGTCACAACTATACTTTTTTTTTTTTTTTTAAAAAAACAACTATCAACCTTAATACCTTCATGTGTTGCGGATTAATCAACTCAAATAAAAAGATTCAATTTCTTGAACTCAAAAAAGAAATTTACCAGTAAATTAGTTAAGATCGTTGTGCCTTATTTTACTAACAGCAAATAACACACCTTATACGTACACGTACAAAAAAAAAATAAAAAAAAATATATATATATATATATATATTTTTGAAAAAAGGTCAATTAAGAAATCAAAATATGTTAAACGTAAAAGAAGGTCGAGCTGATAGAAAAATAAAATTTAAAAAATAATTTTTTTGCTTGATATGTACAAGGGCATTGTTGAAAATGAAAAAGATGTGCACCAGATACATCCATCGTTAGAGTAGCAATTAATATATTGACAAAACTAATACATGAAAAATTAACTAAATGAAATTTCACGAAATACATCAATGCGTAAAACTATTAAACTATACCATCATCACCTGATAACATGGTAGGCATAAAGATCACAACCTCAGGGTGATCATCATCCATGCTTCTAAATGGGGAAGAAATCTCCTTTCAAAATCTGAATTCTGATATTGGGTTGGCATAGCATTAGATTAAAGAAAAGAAATCATCTAAGTTTTGAATATATATATATATATATATGAATAAATCTTATATATATTGACAGTGTATAATATACTATCACCGTTTGACGCATGACATGTGCGTAAAAATTGAATTTCAGTTTCAAATTTTACATAGTTATCATTCATCCAACGCTGATATAATATATACACTGTCAATATAAGAAAGATTAATCATATTTTATATATATATAGCTAATTACTATGCTATCTGCGCCTAATAGATGTTACAGAAGTTAGTAGAATGAGAGAGAGAGCGTAATGTAATGCACAGCAAGCAAAACAGAGCAATTGTTCTTTGGCAGTTGGTGGCTTGGCTAACAATACACGGGCCACAACAATATAAGTAAATATTATATTCTTTATTTGTTTCCTCATGATTTTCTTGCCGAAACCGTAGATTAAATAAAAATTAATGTCACTACTTACTAGTATTAGTATATTATTTCTCAACAAGAAAAATAATAAAAGTGTATTTTTTTCATAAAACACAAAGAAAACTGACGCACAAGAAACAAAAGAACAGAATAATACATCAACAGAAAATTTTTTTTTAAAAAAAGGCCAAAACAAATTTCAAACAATCCACTCCCTGCCTCTAAATTTCTCTCTATCTCTCCATGTTTCTCAATTGATAACCCAAAGCTGCAGAATAAAGAAAGGTAAGTTTGCAACCCATCTGTTATTTTTCTTCTTTGATTTTTTTTTTTAAAAAAATTTGTATTATTGATTTTCTTTAATCTTATCTGACTTGCTCGTTGGATTCAATTTCTTCTCTGCTTTCTGAGATTTCTTTCTTTTTGTTTTTTTTTTTTATTCTGGTGGCTAATTTTATGATATTATAGGAAAACATTGATTTTTCTGGATTGTTCAGTGTTTAATGCTAATTTTTCCCCCTTCTATCAGGGGCGCTGTTTAATTTATCTGTTGGCTGCTCCAAACATTTAACTATCTGGCAAGGTGTATGTGTTTGTATGTACATTTTGTCTTGTACGCAGACGTCTGTGTGCGTACGTGTTTCTATTTTTGTGTATTTATACTCCATTGCGTACATACTGGAATTATGATTCCACATGATTTCTTGCTATATTTGTTATAAATGTATCTGCATATAATGGTACTTCCTTTCCGATGGAATTGAGTTTATGCTTGCAGTTTTTTTCAAATTGAAAGCTTTCCTTTTTCCCCCCTCCATACTGGATATCTTCAGGATCAGTTGAATTTTGTTTTTAAAAAGTCCAGTTTGCTATAACGGAGCAGAAAGCTCTTATCTTTTATTTTGTTTTTTTTGTTTTTTTGGGTTTTGAATTGCGACTACATCCATCAGATTGTCCAAACTGCTACTAAATTTCATTGCTAGTTTTATGGTTTATTATGAAACTTGTTCTTATAGTTCCCTGTTCACGGAAAACAGGTTTCTTGACTAGATAAAAGGCTCATTGGAATCAGAATAAGCTAACATCATGAGATACAAGAAAGGGAGCGAAGTCGAAGTATTTTGCAAAGATGAGGTGCCGTCCGGCTCCTGGCGTTGTGGGCAGGTAATATGTGGCAACGGTCACCATTACACCATCAGGTGCATTATAGGGGCTAAGGATGAGGCAATATTTGAGAGAGTCTCTAGGAAGTCAATTAGGCCATGCCCTCCTGTTGTTCATGTATCTCGGAGCTGGATGCCTGGTGATGTTGTTGAGATGTTGCACAATTACTCTTGGAAGATGGCTACGGTCTCAAAGGTTTTAAAGGGAAACCACTTTTTGGTCAGGCTTGTCGGATCCTCGAATGAGTTCAAGGTTCACAAGTTTGATATCCGGCTGAGGCAATCTTGGATGGATGGGAAATGGATCGTGGTTGGCAAGGTACTTCCATTAAAATCTTATCTATTATTCAATCGAGTTTTTTATTAGTGGGTTTTTAATCACACTCTTGGAAGTTTCATTTGGTTAACCTGTGTCAACTGTCTCTTTCTTGATTTTGCATTTCTAGATGTGTATGTTTTGTGCTACCTACTGCAAAGCATAATCTGATTTGCGTTCATGTCTGTGTTATAGCATGTCAGACTTGTTGATATTTGTTTTTTTTTTCATTTTTTACATAGTAAGCCCAGTCAATGTATGACAGCCATTTGTCATACAATCTTCCTGGATACTGGTGCAGCATCTAGTAGTGAGATGCGAGCTCCTTGCTTGACTATCTTCATTAACTATCCCTTTTATTTTCTGCTTCAAACAGGGTTTTGGAAATTATGATGAAGAGAAATGCTGTGAACAGCCTTGTTTCAATTATAATTATATATCAGGCTCCTTTAAGGGGATAAAAGCAAAATTAGATTCCCACGAAGAAAAGGACTGTGTTGGTACTGTAAACAACATCAACTGCCAGGAATCACATATAGTTTCCAAGAAAAATCTAAAGAGAGTGTCTCACAATGTTTACCCTCAAGCTAAAGCACCTGAAAGTGCTCGAAAGTTTAGAGCAATCGAAAAAGGTGGTAGACATCATCGAGTGATTGTTGCTGATCCTTCCCCGTTGCCTGAGAAGGTAGAAAATTATCCTTATCCAAAGAAATTGCCAGGAGGAAAGGACATATGTTGTCTTTTAAACAATAAAACTACAATTTTCTCTCAAACGGATGAAGGGCGGATAAGAATCATTGATGTTGCACAATATTCAAACTCAAGAACTTCAGATTGTAATGATGTGGATGATGATGTGAGCTCTGTTGGCAGCTGTTCTATTGGTTGGGACGATCCCATTAAGTGGCCTTCTAGGATCTTGGCATGTCCTGTTGGATATGCTGACGATCATTCCAGTGATGCTGAGTCTGTTTGTCCGCTAAATAAAGAGGAAGAGAACTATTTACAACCCAATGAAGAGGAGTTGGCTGTGGAAATTCATAGGTTAGAGTTGCATGCCTATCGCTGCACTCTGGGGGCTTTATATGCATTAGGACCTTTAAGTTGGGAACAAGAAACGTTGATGACAAACCTTCGTATTTCCCTTCATATATCAAATGATGAGCATTTGATGGAGTTAAGGAACTTAACATCTAGTGCAACCGGCATCCACGTTAGTTGACAGAAAACTGATATCATATGTTTTCCTTCATATTTGTTGTTGCTCTTGTATGTAGAATTTCTTTTGCATTTTGTTAATAGCTTCTGAACATTGTAACAACAATGAAAGGATTCTATTTGACAGGTTGGATTTTGATTACAAAAAAAGTTACGTTAAGTCCCACTGAAATACTTTTTGTTAAGCATTTCTAGAATGCAGGGCCTATTTTTCAGCTCATTTCTTTCTTGCCAGATCTTCCTGCTTGTATTGAGGAGCTTGATGGTAGTAAAATTTGTTTAGTGTAAAGTTTGAAGTTTACTTCATAGCAAGTAGATTATCTTGCTGTAAAAGGGTGATGTTTCCATAGATTGTGGCGAACTTCCATTTAGTGCTTGTGTAGTTTAGGATCCGTTGGCATATTTAGTTTGATTCCCTCCGCACTGTTTACCAGCATGGTCTTCCTGTCTTTGAGGCATTATTGACACTTCACCTGTATTTCCAGGGCCCATTTGGAGGCTCGTACATCTTGATTAGTTCTATTGGTGATGTTCGGTTTGCCTCCTTTCTCTTGATGTAGACAATGGGGCAACATCAGCATCAAACTAGCTAAAGCAGGTTATTACACCAATTTTGGTATGATTCATGTTACTATTTGCCGCCTTCTTGGTTTACTCACTGCCTAGTGGCTACTAGAGTTAAAAAGCATTCCACGATGTAGGATACAAATTGACTGTAGGATAGGAGTTACGTACCCTGACCACTAGTCTTGTTATGCTAATTGACTATGATGTCGGATACAAGTTATGTACCCTGACACCTTGTCTTCTGTTCTGGTAATGCAAAGCAATTCTTTTTCCAAATAAAGTACATGCTGTTGAACATCCTTCAGCTATGCTTCCAACACTGAGCTCTGCTAGCTTGAGCCCAGGCAGATTTCCAATCATGTTGCAGTGATTTATGGAAGCTGTGGTTTTGTTTCTGGAGGAGGAAATGGAAAATTGGTGAGAAAATGGTTTACCGGATTCCTTTACAGACTGTCACAGATTGGCGTCTCTCCTGGTGTGATCTTACTCTCATGCTGTTGTAATTAATATGATTTGGCCTTGCAATTCCACATATTAATAATCTCTAAATGTTCAGCTGGTTGTATATCTTCAGCTGAAGGGAATGCACAAGTCCGAGTGTCTCCATGCTGTGCTTATTGGTACAACTACTTAATAATCTGCTCTTTGCATGTGTGAAACCTGATCCTCGATGTTGTCAAGAATTCGCGTCTTTTTGAGCTAGACTATTGCTACTTGGCATGCTGGCGGGAGACTAAAAGGAAATAAAGTTTGGAATGTCTGGTTTGTTAAATTTTTTGGAGAAAGCGAGATAACAGCCTTGCATTGGAGTGGCATATTTTAGTTCATATATTCCTATTTATATTTTCAGAATTGAATAGATCAGCAGATAGGAAAATTTGACTTCCAAACCTAGAAATGCCCTTGCGACTTTGAACAATTGTGTTATCTGTGTCTTGTACAATAAGCTCTTAGTTTAAATCATGTGGAGTTGTCATCAATGGTGAGAGAGAAGATACTTATCAGCATCAGTTTAGGAAATAGATTTCCATCAATGAAAGCTCCCTTTTCCCTAAAACACGGAAACGGTACCCATCTGTCTCTAGCAGGTCTGTTGCTCGCTTTGACATATAGCGAACCTTAGTTTGTGTGAGCGGTTTCACTGCTAGAAGCTGTCGTCCTCCTCCCCATGTGGAGCTACTTCACTAACTTATTCTGGGTTATTTCTCTTTGGTAGGAACAAGAAGGAAAAAAGTTATGATTGCTGGCAAAATTCTGCTGCAGTATACATATACGTAGGTGTGTAGGTGTCTGATTCTTCACACCTTTACGTTCTTATCATTTCTGGGTTGATTTTTCCATTGTTGTGTTGATTCTATTTCTTTACTTGACTACGTTCTGCAGCAATTGTACAGTCGAAACTGCAAGCGCCTTTTGATTTTCTATCTGGGGGGCTTTGTATCTTCATCTTCTTTCTTCCGTCGCAGATATGACGGATAATCTGTGCCTGTTGGTTTAAGTGTTTATTCATGCGGTTAAATATATTTCTGATGCGACTTCAGGTCCCGGCAATTATTATACGTCTGGATGGACAGAGTTGGTTGCCCGTCAGAAGGAGTGTTTGTTCCTTCGTCCCAAAACTCCTCTCGCCTTCTTCGTCCTCAATAGATCGATCATTGATTGTTGGTTCCAAGTTCCAACCAAAAAAAGGCTGCGTCAGCGTCATTCCTGACCTGTTAGCTGCTTGAACATGATGATGATCTGGAGATTCATTGACATTATTTAGATTTAATAAATAATCCAGTGACGGCGGGCTGAGGACTCGTTTGAGCCTGACTGCCTTGATTCAAAACTTCACAACGTACGACTACTGTACAATATTTTATTTATTTTTCCATTTTTGTCCGAAGGAGAAACAGGATTGAGAATGAGATGAAGATGTTTAGCTGAAGCCCAATTTGAAGTTTTGTGGGAGATGAAAGCTGTCCGCGTCACGGGCTGTTTGTTGCCAGCGGTATGTCCATCAATTGGGCCCCAAGATTTCAGATATAGTTTCAGTCCAGTCCATTGTAGTCTTGTTGTTACGACTATTAAATGCGTTGGGCCTGGGATCGGTGAAAACGGCAGAGACCAGGATGCTCCTCTACATTTAATGATCTAATTAGACGTGGATGGACATCATCATTCAATTATACGACTACTACTACCACTTATTTAATTCATGCTTTTTTCATCGCTTCCACTGACTATGCTTTTATTCTATTCTTAGTAAATAAAAAATGATTAACTCACCCAAAAATAAATAAATATTTTTTTAATTTTGAGAAAAGAAATTAATTTACATACGGAGGACAAAATAAGAATAGTATTTGATGACCACACAATTCTCTGCAAGGTTCCATGTGTCATTCCTAGAGATGGACATGCCCTAATATATATATATAATTTTTTCCGTAAAGAATTATCCCTTGTATATTAATTGTGATTAGAATTTAGAAAGAAGGTGCGCAATTGAGTAAAAGTCCCCCAGGCAAGAAACCTACAAATGAGTTGTACATTTATGTGGTTCCACCAAATCCTCTGCCATTGTCTTATTTGCATCGATCATGATTGGGTACTCCCATGTGATCATGCCTCCCCTCCTCCGCCTTTGCAGTTTGCAAGAGGGGGAGGGAGGGAGGAGAGATGCTTCCTGCAGGGGTTTAGCCTTCCTGGTCAGATCTATATACTATATGATGTAGGTATGATCCGAATCCTGTCTTCTTTTTCTTCTTTTTTTTTTTCTTAATTTTTTTAAAAAAAAAAACAAAAAAGCCTAAAAAATATACTACTATGAAACCACAAACTTTTACATGCATGCTTCGAGTAGCAGCAGCAGCAATACAAAACACAAGTTTTTTCTGCCGTTTCATAATTAAGGCCAGCATGATCGATCATGCTGTGGACGAAAGATCATTGTCGAAGATTATACAACAGACATTTAGTGGATAAACTCAACTGATGTGCGTGCCAGCGACGTTCGTTGAATTGAGGATGTTGATCAAGTAAAATTGGCGGCCGTGGCTATATGCAAATTTACTTACCGTAGAGAAAGCTCATTCTCTACTTTGTGGAAGTTGCAAGATATTTGATTTGTCCCCAGTTCTATATACGATCACATGCAGACATGTGACCTGCTGGTGCTGCCACATATATACTTATGTGTATATATATATATATTTTACAATGAATAGTATAGCTTTCACAATCATTAATTTTATGGCAAGAAAAATAGCTTATTGGTCCGCCAGCCAAAGGGTGCAATGCATAGTGGCTGCCGTCCTCTGCGACTGTGCCTACTAAGCTCACATAGACATCAGCTCTATGTAGATATCCTGCATCGTAAAGACTGGATTAGTCATTAGATAGATATGTTACAGGGAGTGAGTGTCAATTTTCCCAACAGTCACCAACAACCATGGTGGTTGGTGGTCCTTTTCTTTTCTTTTTTTTTGGCTTTTGCTGGGCAAAAATGCAGACCATATATCCTCTCCTCTCTATTATCTGCTGTGTGTTTTGGGACGTAAGACTCCATCAGGCAAAAATGGGGAGGTTGCTTGAATAATGGCCCTTATCACATATGGCAGGTAGGATCAACATACTTTAGTAGATCATGAGCTAGCTAATTATTCTTCAACACAACTAGTGAGATATGGATTAGAAAGGAGTTTAATCGGGGGCTGATGAGGCATGAATTTATATGGCTAACTAATCATGCAGAGAATAGTCTCTGCCCCGTGGCCGCGGTGGTCTAATACGCAACAGTCCAGACAAAAATCCTATTGATCAGCTGCAGACATAAGCCAGCTCATTTGGCAGGAGACACTGAGGATTAATTTAACTAACTGCTGCTATTCTATAATTGGGGATGATTGATTATTCAAGGATCACAGCCCTTGAGCACTTTCCATGAGCTAAGCTAACTCCTCCTTAATGAGCTGGCAAATTCTGAAGGGAGTAACAGTGGACGATTATCTTGTTCTGCTTGTCAGGCATTGCGAACCATCTGATCATCTCAGGGATTCCTTCTAAAAATTTTGTTCTGATCAGATGGTCCATTGCTGCTGCATTAACTTTTTCGTCACATGAATCTCTGTCTGCAGAGCCATCGCTTCTTCTTGTTGGCTGTTAGTTGTCACTTGTCAGACTGTAAATCTGCAAATTAAATACTAGTCGGTGTTTTTCTTCTTCTTCTTCTTCTTGTTTTTTTTTTTAAGGTTTTGAGTGATCCGTCTCTAATTATAAATAAATAAACTACGCTTCATTCAAGGCTCTTAAGGGGGGACTGAAACATCTTTGTGCAGAAAGAAAGAAACTCTTATAATTATACTACTCCGCTATGCTATCTTCTTCCTTCACTAATCGATACGTACGTTTTGAAGATCCCTCTCCTAAATCAACAATAATGGACCATGAGCTGGGCAAAAAGGGTCTCGTCGGCCTTTCAAACAAAAGGGCAATAGTAATACACCCTCTACTCTAATTCTATCCTGAATCTAAAAGTTAAAAAAGTCCGGCACTATAGGGAGCAAAAATGCTTTTGGCGTAGGACTCTAGGTTATCACACATTGTACCTTTTCACCAAAA